AAAATAAAACCATGGGAAATCTCTTCATCATTTGGACTCAGAGCAAGTGTCCAGAAAAATACAAATGTATACATTGAACCTTCAAATAGGGATTGTATTGCACCCAACAGAGCAATCTTCTCATCTGACCAACATATACCAGTGTGCTGAGTTCCACGAAAAGGACAAAATGGTAAAGATGAAACAAAAATAGAAACAGCAACAAGTCATATAACTCAGGGAATAGCACAAAATGATAAGGAAATGACCTAAGTTGGACCCATTACTTAAAAGTATCACACAGGAAAGCCGAGTTCTATAATTGTCTGAAATACAGTTTTCGTGCCATTCTAGGGGTTGTATGGGCAGACAGTATTAGTTTGTATCTACTAAGCCATTCATAAAAGTTAGTATAAAGCCGGACATTTTATTATATAAGAGATCTAGGAATATACCTAAAGCGATTGCTACAGCTGTACCCTTGAACTGTGCCAGTAAGTCCTTGTTATCTGAAGGGTCGTTGTAGTTCTCAGTCGATGATGACAATATAAGAACTCCATTTTGTGATTTTCTTCACCTCTTCTCAAATTTCAATGCATATAATCCATACAAAAAATAAAAATAAAATAATTCTCAGGGAGAGCAATGAAAAATGCAATTTTTCTCTCCCTTTCTCTCTCTGTAGAAATTGAAAAAGGATCTTTATATACACACATACATGCAGATAATAATGAGGGGCAGATGATTATATTTTGTAGAAAATTGCAATGTTGGTCCTCAAGTTATTTCTCTAGTATCAATTTGATCACTACACACACACACACACATTTAATTATAATTGATAAATCGAAATATTTCACGACTTCATTGCCAAATAAAGGGGAAGTTATCTCATGCTTCTAAGGAAAATTATCTTTGAAACAACTATTCGTAGGTACCTATTTGGTGTTGCAGCGACAGTTGTGTTGATGTGATTGCGACTGTGGCAGTGATAATGTTGGAGTTGATTTTTTTGTGGTGTTTGGGTACAGTAGTTGTGGTGGTTTTTGGTTGTTAAGAGTATGGTAGTGGTAGCTTCCATGTTTTGAGGGTGGCGGTGGCGGTAGACGGCGGTGTTCGTGGCAGTGGGTGCAGTGGTGACGGTGAGATGTTGGTAGCCGTGGTCTATCGAGGTGGATGTGCTGATTTTGTTTGACTCAGTAATGTTGCTGTAGGGCGATGGTGGTTGTAGTTCTAGCGATAACGGTGGCATTGGTGATGTTGAAGGTAGTAGTTGTTTGGTGGTGGTCACAGATTAATTAGTTAATTGTGACGATTAAATTGGTTAATCAATGAACAATAAACAATATTTGAGCAATAAGAAAAATAAATTGTGATCAAAAAATAATACGTGACTTGAAAAATTAATAATTTGTGATTGTTTAATAAGTTGTAACCTATAATATTTGTGATCTGTGGCCTATAAATAAATTGTGATGTATAATTTTTTTATCTGTGATCGACGACCAAATCTTGACATACAAAAGTTTTGAAATGTGATCGCAAAATAATATTTGACATTAAAAAATTTCGATTTGTGATTGAAAAATAATACATGACTAATTAAATTGTGAATCTGTGATCAAATTGTATAGATCCCCGACCTTAACATATTTAATTAATAAAATTTATAATTAATTAATTAAATTATAAATAAGTTTTAATGGATATTTGATTTTTGAGATTTTAAACTTGTATTCTTACTTTTGAAATGGGTAATAGTTATCCTCTTAGTTATGAAATTTTTCCCTATGGCAAATTTTGAGGGAAATATATTTAGAGCGTGCTTGATTGACATAAAAAATCTTTATATCACCTAGAAAAAAAAATTATTTTCCTTGTTTTTTGTGGAAAACAAACTTAGTCATCCCAAAGAAAATATTTTCCTTAAAAGCAAGGAAAATCAGGCATATTTTCAAAAGTAGGAAAATATTTTCAATGGAAAAAAAATGACAATCAAATATCCAAAGTAGAAATTTGGGTGAAAAACTGATATTTTTCATAAAAAAAATACTTTTGATTTGACACACCCTTATTGCTTGTTTGGTTTTATAAGCACATTAGGCGGGCTTGCGGTACGTGTTGAGACTCGACAAAATTTAAGATTTGCTAAAAATTAAAATTTTAGTAAATTTTGATAAGAGTTGATAAATGTAAACCAGGGTTGTATCATCCTGGCCCCCCTTCAAGCAGTGGCGGATTTACAATGGGGGCAGTGAGGTTAACTACTCCACACTAAATTTGAAATTCAAGATTTTGCATTAGATTTCCTAAAAAAAAATCTTATAATTTTCAATTTTGCCCCCAGAAATTTACTCCTACAACTCTATAATCTGAATTCTGCCCCTACCTTCAAGCAATAATCTATCAGTATATTTTGCTCTCTATCAAGGTCCAACTCTCTTATTGCATTAGGAGTCAGAGTCACTGCCTTAAAAACCAACATCTATTCCGGCCACCGAGATCGAACTTGGAGTCTATCATCTTCGTGTAGTAATATATAGTGTGATCACATTTGAATTCTTGATCTAAAAATTTATGTTGTTAAAAGAGTTAGGTATATATTATTTAAAGGGAAGTGTTACATGTACATAATTATCTACATAATGTTGTCCATAATTATACGTGACACTGGATCTAACCTTTAATTCAAATATCACACATGCACATTAACAATCGGATGATTGTCACATCACATTATGGACACCATTATGTGCAATAATTATGTACAAATAGAATTTTCCTTATTTAAATCTTGTCTTGGCTTGCTCCTTATATGTAGGTGTGTATATGTCTTGTCTTGGTCACCGAGTGGGTTTATGTCATGTTGGTATTTTATAATGTGTGCTCTGAAACATTAGAGATAAATAGTATGTAAATAATTGAAAAAGAATGTAACGTATATGAAACAGTATGTAATTTAAAATAAACTTGTAATTAAAATTATAAGGAAGATTCAGCTAACCATGAAAATCAATCGATTAACGACCAACTTGTAATGAATTTGATGGGTTCTTCCCTTCAACTCGTCTGCTAGAGAATTGGTAGAGGATATATATATATATATATATATATATATATATATATATAAAATTGAATTCTTATGTAATTTTCCATATTGAAATTACATTTTATTATGCTAACAATTATGTACGCACATAAAAACAAATATGTTAGCCACGTAAATAATTAATGGAATAAAAACAAGAAAAAAAATTATGAATTCATGTTTCTTAATCTTGCAATATGTTACTATTACACGTATTTTTTCAATACAAGCTCAATAAATTGGTCGATTTATGTAATTTTCCCACATAAGTGATTAAATGATCTTATAAGTGTTAACAACAAAACTTTAATAAATAAATTATATTTCTTTGGTTCAATATTTTTGTGTAAACTACGGTAACATGTCTTCTGGATTTATTAAATATTACACTTGTTGGAATAAAATATATATAAATATTAGAGTTCTAACTTTTAATATTCAAAAGAACTTTCACCGCCGAATGTGTAAAAGAGTTCAAAATATTAAAATTTTCCCTTAGTTTCATTTTTTTAAAAACAAAATTTCCTTTAGTTTCATTGCTCTCCTAAGTTGCAATATTAATTACAAACAATAAGCAGAAATCTATAAGTTATCATAATTTGTATTAAAATATTTATCTTAGAGGATGTCTTCCACCTTGTCAATCAAGAAGTTCATAAATTAATAGATGATGTTAAATATAAATATAGTTAAGTTTCATGTTCTTCAGTTATATTTTGGTAATTTCTATTGGGAAAAATTCACCTCAATCTTGCAGCGAATGCAACTGAAATGAAAGACAACGGTTACAAAAGAGAGAACCACACGAACTAAGGTTCATTTAGCAAGATTTCTAAGTCAAAAATTGCTTTCGAGATTAACAATCTGCTGTCGTAGAAATCCCTCGATAAATCTTGATTTCGAGCTCAGAAAACAATCAAATGAATACCGATTTATCTCTGCTTGATCCGAGACTTTCGCATTCACTTTGGATTGCTCTCTTTCTCTCTAACCCCACAAAGGAGAAGGGTGATGGTGCTAGCAATTCACAAGGGTATGGAGAGGAAGAAGAAGATATCACAATGATTGAATATCACTCACAACTTCACATGATTTCCGTCTCTCTCGGCTGCCTCTCTTCTCTCAACTCTTCTCTCCATTACTACAACACACACACACACCAAAACGGCTGGGAAATAAATGAATAAATAAATAAATAAATAAATAAAATATATATATATATATATGTTAGTTTAGGTCACTAAATATGGGCCAAGAGATCTCTAAGTGGGCTGCCATATAACCCAAACTAATGGACCAATTTTCAACTTCATATTAATCACTAAATAGTCAAACTAATCAAATAATCACCCAACCCAAATCCAAGTCATCCAAAAGTGTAGTTTGTTTTCGAGTCGAGCCAAGTTCATGGTGTCGATAAATAATCCGACAACTGTCTTAAATCATCACCCGAATTATTGGGTATCAAAAAACCCAACATATGCTTTTGAACATATTTTGGTAAGTTTTTTAATATGTTTTATTTGGTTAGAAGAACTTTTAAAAAAAAAAAGTTAATCTAACGTTCCATAATCTCTTCAATAAGAAGAAGCAAAAATGGTTCCTAAATGTAATTTGACCAACTGTTAACAATCTCACAGAAAAATGAGACTCTTTTAACCCAAAAAACTTTACTTACGAAGCCTTCTTCACCTACTCATTCTCTATGCACAAAATTAAATGGCCAACAACATGACCTTTTTCTGGTTTTTTCTACTCTTTCTCTCTCTACAAAGCACTCTCTTTCTCACAAACTTTATGGCTGTGGAATTGATTGTATACAAATCCGTTCATGTGTTCCTTGTGTTTCCTAAATGAATTTGGATTTCTTGAACGAAGACTTCTATAAATAAGGTTATATCTTTGTATTTTTCACATCATCCTATATGGCAGCCATAGTTAGTCGATTTTTCATGTGCATTTTCCTCCTTTTCCTAACCCCTCATGCTCTTTGTCACACTCTTACGATGAAGGATCCAGTCGTAACAACCGCACCTTTTGAGTTTTTCAATAATTTTAGAAGTTCCAGGAAGGGTGATAGCTGTGAAGGACTCCATCAAGTGAAGAAGTACCTCTACCAATTTGGTTATCTCAATACTCTTGATGCTAAAAATAAGGATTTATTCGACGATACATTAGAATCTGCGATCAAAACTTACCAACTCAATCACAACCTCGACATTACTGGATTTTTAGATTCTCGTACAGTGTCAAAAATGATGATGCCACGATGCGGGGTATCTGACATAATCAATGGAACTAACACAATGTACCGTGGCACCAACCCCTTGAATGCTTCACAATTCACTTTATTTCCAAGTCGTAGAAAATGGCCTGAAACCCTACTTACCTATAGATTTCTAAGTGGTTTTCCTCAAAGCTTCATGGAGCCCATACGATATGCCTTTGAAATATGGTCCAACAAGACAAGCTTCTTCTTTTTCAAACTTCGAGATGATCTTGATGAAGAATATTCAGATTTACAAATTGCTTTTGTTAATGGTGAACATGGCGACGGATATCCATTTGATGGACCCGGTGGGGTTCTTTCACATGCTTTTCAACCGACCGATGGCCGAATGCATTTTGATGCATCCGAGGATTGGATAGTTGGTTCTCTTCCTCGTACGATTGATATAGTTAGTGTTGCATTGCATGAAATTGGGCATCTTCTTGGACTTGGGCATACAAATATTCCGGATGCAATTATGTACCCTAATATCCGTTATGCTATGGTAAAAAGAACTCTACATCAAGATGATATCGATGGAATTAGAACTTTATATGGATCTTGATAGCAAGATTAGTTATCATAGGCACCAATCAAGATCAGGTTATAAGTCCCGTCCTAAGTTTTCAAGGTCATTTTGAGTTTAAACAAAAGTATAATTTAGGGTTTGAAGAATAACATTATATATTAGTTCAATTTGACTTAGCTACAATGTTCCATGTTTATAATTACAACGTTATTCTTGTGCAGATTCAAAATAAACATTATATCAATAACATTACAACATTAGTTCTTATGCAGATGCGGAAAAATAAAATTATGTTCATTATTTGTACGAAAAAATAATTACCATGAATTCAAGGGCAATTTTTTATAGGTCAATGTTAGGATATGTCTATTTTAATTCCTATTTATTTAATAGCCTTAATATTAGTCTTTGACGCGTGCGTTGCACGAGTTTTGTATTTATTTTATTTTATTAGCGTCAAAATTGTAGATTTTTCAAAATTGGTTGAAGATTTGAAGTATTTGATGAAGTCCAATCGTTTGGTTCATTGGATTATCGCAGGATGCATAGAGATTTCTTTTTCGTTTTTTATTTTTTTCTCATTTATTTATATTTTATTTCTTTTGTTCATATTATAAATATTTTTTTTCGATTTAAAATCCTTTTTAATTTTTTTCTTTATAAAAAAAATTATTTTTTTAATTTTAATTAAATAATATTTATATGTTTTTTTATTTAATTTTCAGAACATTCTTTTGTTTAATTTGCTTTGTTTTTATTATATATTTTTTGAAGATTGTTTTAAAAAAAAATCTTCATATTATAAATAATTTGTTGTTTGATTTAAAATTCTTTTCGTTCTTTATTTAATTTTCACAACATTTTTGCAAGATTGTTTTTTTCTTTTCGATTTAAAATAAATTATTAGTTTCTCCTTAGGTATCTAAATCTTTTTTGCTTTTCTCCTTATTCTACAACACAATTATTCTAGATGTTTTCCTAATTCATATTGATATTTACATTCTAGTTCTTTGCTACTCCATCATTTAAAGAGAAATCAACAGTATAACATATTAATAAAAATGCATGTTGTACAATATTGCCAATTAATTGGACAACAAAATCACTTCGAGAAACATTAGCAGTAAATTAATAAACTCATAAAATTACAATAGCTACTAAATGCACAAATTCTAATCTGACCTCTGTAAACTGTAATAAGAGGTCTAACCTGACCTCTATAAACTGTAATAAGAGGCAGAGGATGAAGAAAGGGCAGAGTGGAGGGCCACTCCACTGGCATTGTAGTTGTAATATTTTCACATAACCCATCTATTATCACACCCTAAAAGACAACACAAATCATGCATCAATACCACAGACAGTGTATTAAACATACAAAAAAATAAGGAGCTTACGTGTCAAGAAGTAAAGAGACATCAAATATACAGACACCTCACTGGACGGTTCTAGTCTTAGTTTCTTGGAACGAATCTTACAAGAAAGGGTTGGGGCCTCAGTCCCCAATGGAGTTTATTTTTAGTTGTCACTCACTAAAACTTCATCAACTAAATGTGTTTCCGAAGCTTTCTTCTATTCCCAGTATAAACACTTTCCATTCTTATTGAACAATGATCATTTTCTATAATCGTTTCATTTGCAGTCCTTCCCTTCACATGAATATATAACTAAAGAATGAGAATTTGCTAAAATATTTTATATTCAGTGAGCTACATCATATACCACCTAACATTCGAAATAAGAAACCTCTCTTTGAGCTACAAATTTTTCACAATAGTATAGAAATTCATTGCAATGAAACTGGTCTCAAACTTTTCAAACATACTTATAATATGAGTAATCCTTTCAATCACATGAAAGATCTGAACTACCTACACCTTAACTATTAGTTCAACTACAAATCTGCCAACACCAAATATTTCTTTAACTACAATAAAACACTATACACATAATCACCTAAAGTACAATTGTTCAAGCATAAAAAAATAAAATAAAATTAGAAGCTAAAATTATGAATAATGTACAGTAAAAACGAATTAGTTGTAAAAGAAAAATCACCCTCAAACAAAGCAAAAATGAAATCAACATACCTGAAGTCGATAATCTTCAATTTGTACGTTAATCCGCTTTTTTCTGTTTACAACTTTCACAAAAGTCCAAATAAAGTCAGAAGGAAAGAATAAAAATTTTAGCGTGGACACGAACACAATGAAATAAAAAGAATAAGAAAAATTATAAATGAACAAACTTGAGGTCCCCAGAACCCAACTTTTTGCGAAATTTTGTAGTATTTTGGTAACAATTGTTAAATTCTCGAAAAAAAAGAAACAGCTGGAAGATTCATGACAAAAAATACAAAGAAACATACCTAAACTCCAATTTCTTTTAAAATTTCATGGTATTTTGGGAACAATTTGTTAAATCTCGCAAAAAACAAAAATCAAGATTCAGTCGTAAAATATACAACAGAAGAAATTGAAGGTTTAAAGATTGGGTATACATGTAATCGTCTCAATTATGCGTGAAGTTGTTGGGTATTTTTGGAACAATCGAAAGAAGGAAATTGAAATTAAAGTTAAAAGCCGAAAGAAATTAGCATCGTAGCAATGCAGAGTAAGAATGAAATTAGGGTTAAATGTAGGGATGGCAATTTGAACCGTCAAAATCGAAAATCGCGATTAACCGAACCTAATGGGGCGAAAAAAATCGAACCAATAGTGTAATAGAGCGGAAATGATTTTTTTTTTATGAACCGGTTCGTGGCGGTGCGGATATGGTATTTACACCGTCGAACCGAAACCGAACCAATTACCTGCTAAAAAAAACAATTGAATTGATTATTGAGTTTTACACTACTTTTCTATCTAACCCAAAATAAAATCCCCCCATTACATCTACATGACTCAGCCGGCCAACACACTTACCATTAGCCCATAATAATAGCATTAGTATGATAGTATATAAATACAAACCCTAGTCTCCACAGACCACAAACTCACGCACGGCTCCCTTTATTGTTAATTTTTTTTTATTGTGTGTAGAAAATTCTACTTCTTCATCATACTCTAGAGTTTGTGCAACGTTTAGCGAGAAGGAAGCTGACAAGGAGGTACATTTTTTTATTTAAATATTAGTTAAGACCATTCTGGAATGGTAGTATCATTGTATTCTCTACTTATATTTTTTATTTACTATATATGAATCAACTTTGAGTGTTGATCTATACTAGTAAGACTTGTGGGAAAGAATGAATCAAATAACTTCGATGAAGAATAATTAAGAACGAAGGAAAAATTTAGTATTGTTATATTTATACAATTGTTTGTTAACTTTGTATTTTACAATTGAAAATTTGGATAATGTTTGCATTTTCGTTTGGAATATTGTATATTGGTTTTATTGATTTTTTTCATAAATTATTTTATATCAATTTGACGGATGAACCTATAAAAAATAATTTATTTTCGTGGTTATTAACCGAACCGAATCGTGCCGAACTAAACCGATTTATGTGGTTATGGTGCGGTTATGGTATGGTTAAAAAATTGATGGTGCGGTTATGGTTTTGGTCGAACCGACCCATAACCGAACCGTTGCCAACCCTAGTTAAATGCAAAAAAAAAAAATATTGTGTTTTAAACGAACAGAATTAAGAAGAATTTTAAATCGAAAAAAAAATATTTATAATACGAAAAAAAATTAAAAACAATTTTCAAAAAAAATTTTAATAAAAATAAAATAAAAGAAAGTTACAAAAATTAAATAAAGAATACATAAATATTATTTAGTTAAAATTGAAAAAATAAGTTTTATTATGAAGAGAAAATAGTTAAAAGGAATTTTAAACCGAAAAAAAATTATAATGTAAAAAAAATAAAATAAAATAAAAATTATATATATCTCCAATGTCTCCGTGCATGGACCGTGCACGGACAGATTAGAGAATTTTATTATTATTTTTTTTTTTGCTATGTAGTTTTATATTATAAATAATTTTTTCCAACTTAAAAATCTTTTTAATTCTTTTCTCTTCAAATTTTTTATTTACAAGTAACTTTTTGTAAAATATTTTCTGTCTTATATTATAAGTAGATATCTTTATTTTTTAATATTTTTTTTACATAAAAGTGATTTTTTTCTTATATACCTACTATATATATGAGAGTGGTTGAGCACGGAGTGAAGAGATGAGATTTGGTGGGAGGTATGAAAAGTTGTGTGTTGCAGTAAATTTATATTGTCCTTGCTTAATGTATAATAAAATATATATCAAACAAGGCAAACGATGTCATTTTGCTCTCCCACTTGAAAATAAAATAAAAAATTAGCTACGGTGAGATAAAATTGATTAAAACACTATTCAATTCAACAGTGTCTCCACAAATTCCCCTTTTTATATAGTAGGGAACTGTCCAATGGGAATGGCATGGGTGTTTGTAGGAAATCATAGTTAGAGAGCTCACATCTGAGAGGTTGTGCTCTTACTTTGGCATATAGTGAGGACTATTTTAAGGCCTGTGGTTTGTTTGGGAAGAGTTGCGTTAGGTATAAATTTGGGATAATGAGATGACCTTAGGATTTATAGGTATTCATTGGTTAGGTAGGATGTTAAATCTCTTAATTTTCAAGTTCGCTATGCTTCAGGTTGGATTTCGTAGCATTCATCTATCGCTTTAAGCAATTTCGGGTCAAGTTTGCTTATATAGATAATTTTATCGAGCGCTCCTTCCCAAACTCAAATGTTCTCCTGAGATGTTTTATGGCATCTTATCCTCTAATTTCTCTTGGCTTGATGTTAGACCTTTGTTCACGAGCATCTAGGCACAAGTTAAAGATGCATAACTCCGGCATAACGAATTAGGAGCATAAGAATGACATCGATACAAAGATGTTTGCTCTTACCTTTCCCCAAAAAAAAATAAAAAATAAAAAATAAGATAATGCTATTTAGCTTCACTTGTTTATAATATAAGCTTATATGATGTTTAGTGATAAGTTAAATGAAAAGAGGAACTAAACATTGAAAATTAAACGCACTCTAAGTGTTATATTAGCGCCACATAGATTCTCTGTGAGGCTAAATAACATTACTCCGAAAAATAAGAGCGAGATTTAATTATTGGAATCAAATTCTTTAGTCTTCTCATAAGACCAATGTGCGGAGCCAAGCCATCCAAATACGCTAAAAGCATGGTCTGGCTTGTGATGGTCTCTACAATGCTCGGCCGTAGAGGCGCCCACAGCCGACAGAAGTCCGTATTAAGGGATGAGACGATAAAAACTAATAAAAAGTCCATAAATCTAGCCTAGTACGAGTCACACAAAGTTCTGGTAATTTTAGATTGTTGACCCAGCATGGCTCAATTTACACCTCTATTATACGGGTCAAAGTAGGAAGATCAAGTTATGGCGTGAACAGTAACAGGTTTTATCCAGCTGACTTAAAAAACAAATGGATGGGATCAAAGAAATCTAAATAGGAAAGAATTCGTTAAAGCAGCACCACAAATTCAGATTGTGAGGAAGCTAAAATATCCTCAGTTGTCTATTTATGGCCCACTAATTTCCTCACTGTATATTCAAAAAATCTTCAGTATAGTAAAAGAAAAAGAAGAAAACAAATGATCAAAGCAACACATTAGTTTCATTTACTTGTATCAAAAATTGTCTCTTTGAAGATCATGGCTGCTCTTTCTTCCTCGTCTTTGTATCATAAATTCCATTCCTCTACTCGTGCTTATTGTTCGAATTCGAATTATGAGTCGAGTTCTTGTTTTACTGCGAAAGCCGTTGGATATTCCGGCAGAAGAAATGGCTCTAGCATATTTGGAGGCCTCAGAATTCAAAATGGAGCAACAAAACCTGCAAAGTCACCAGGTATCTGTTGTGTTCTATCTTCTCATTGAAATTTACATAAATGTTACTCGATAGATAGCACTCTGGCCATATTCTTAGTGCTTCTTTCCTTTTCGAGGAATTAGCTGAAGAAGAATGGAAGATCAAACGGCAGCTTCTACTCGAGAAAAGGGTAAACGAGTCTTCTATCTCTTTCATCTGGAATCACACATATTAGACTTCCAAGGAAAACGATAAAGAAAAGAAGAACGAAAATCAGATATAGGTACTGTTTTCTGCCTACTCAGACATCATTTGGGATAACCAACAAGACGATCTTCTGCAGGTAAGGAGTGTGGAGGCCAAGGAAGCATTGCGGCTTCAGAAAGAAAATAATTTTGTGATTCTTGACGTACGGCCAGAGGCAGAGTTCAAAGAGGTAACAGAAATGACAACAAATAACAAAAACATGCCCTTAACTCTGCTGCATTTGAAATGGTTGTCTCTGAAATAAGCACCGTCTCATTTCGTGATTGTTTATTGGTGTAGGCACATCCTCCGGGTGCTATTAACGTGCAAATATATAGACTTATAAAAGAGTGGACAGCGTGGGATATAATTAGACGAGCTGCATTTGCATTTTTTGGCATCTTTTCCGGAACAGAAGAAAATCCTGAGTTTATCCAAAGTGGGATATACATATTAATTGTTTCTTTTCCAGCCTCTACTTGAGAACTTTTTGTAATCAAAGAGCTCTTTTGCTTGTGCAAACAGGTGTGGAGTCAAAAATAGATAAGAGTGCAAAGATAATTGTTGCCTGCTCGGCCGGTGGAACGATGAGGCCTTCACAAAATCGTCCTGAAGGCCAACAGTCAAGGTTCTTCTCCGCTTCTGTTTCTGTTTTTGTTTGCTAAGTATGATTTATGGCCATAAGAATTTCTTTATTAAAAAAAAAAAAAAAAAAAAGGAAGAAGAAAGAAGATTTCTTATTTGTTATTTCAATCAATAATTCTTGGTAGATGTAATATAAATTTAAATAGATAAATACATCCCCTCCTTCACGCTTAAATTTATAGATGGGATTGTTCAACCTGGTATAATAGAAAAAAAAAAAAAATACTTTAAGTTCAAGTCTTACTGTCACTCATTACGAAGATTGTGCGTGTAATGTGAGACGTCCGATTAGAAAATGAATCTGTTCTACATGTAAAGGTGTGTGTTGCAGACGAAATATAAATGACAGTTTGAGCTTTTTGACAATATGGTTCAGAAATTTTAACACTCTTTGCAGGTCACTCATAGCAGCTTACTTGCTGGTTCTCAATGGTTACACTAATGTCTATCACTTAGAAGGAGGGCTTCATAACTGGTTTAAAGAAGACCTTCCATCAGAGTCTGAAGAATGAAGTCTACCAGAAAACACTGATTCATACTAATGGACGACACGGCTGTTCTTGAATGAAAATGTTAATGTATAAATGAGTTTTGGGAATCACCAAAGGTTTTTTCTTATGCATAGAATGAATGTCTGTACAAACAATAATATCAGTCATCCAATATTGTATCAGCAGTAAAACATGAGAGATAGTGACTGCAAGATATCCAGAATTATACTGGACTAGGATTCTTCAAATAGTAAATTCTTTTTTACTTATATTTAATAGAAAGCTGATGTATCCCCTTGCTTAACAATTTAGGCTTTTGACAAGGTGGTTTAACACAGAAGCAAAGAAATAAAAGATCGTGAATTCAAGTCTTGCTTCCCATTTATGAAAATTGTGCATAATGACATAAAGTGCATCTTGCAATAGTGACACGACCCTTCGTGCATGTTTGATAAAGTAAGCTGGACAATATCGAACATTATTAATGATGAAAAGACTAGTCCAATGCTGCATTCCAAACATACAACCAAAATTCATGAGGAATCCACATATAATAGTTCATGAAAGAGAAGAAAGATGCGAAAGCTTCATCATAACCAAGTTGAACTGGGGGGGAAATGCAAGAATACCAGCATATCTTTCAACAATGAAACCTAAAATCCTACTGGGATTCGAATTCTCAACAAGTAGAAAGTATTATACTGTATAAGCACACAGTGCAGGAAACCTATAAATTAGGATAAGACGCCATTGAAGTACTGTGTCATCATTGTTCACAAGTTAAATTAGGATGTATCTATGTTGCTTGAAATATCGACGGTCCTCTTCATCAACGAGAACAAGGTTTAAGTAGTATGTCACGCTAAATTTGTTGTTGATGTTTCGATTTGTTGGTGTCATGTTTGTTGGGAATTTACTTAAACATGTACAGTGGAATTTAACAAGTTTCAATTCCCATTCAGGATTCAACTTTGTATTTAGATAAAAACTGTGATGAGAAATATACCTTTACTTGTGATTTGCAAACTCTTTCGCGTTATTCCTTTCCAGCAGCTTGAATCTGCCTCCCACAGCTATCCAATTGTCCAGCCTCCAATGAAATCCACACAGAGAGTAGACAGCAACTGCTAGGGTTTCTTTCTTATGCTAACAAGAATAATGAATAACTTATGGACCTCAAACCCTAGCTGCATATATATATAAATCCAAACGGACCCGGCCCGGTCCGGTCCAATATTTAATTAATCCAATTAATCAAACCCGGCCCGTGAATTAATTAATCCAATTAATTAATTCGAGATTATAAATAACAAATTCAATTAATTAATTTATCCAACGATTGTTAAATTAATCAATTGACAATTTGCAGTCTTTCAATTCTCTTTTGTGTGCGACCCATTAGGTTCCCGACCACGATGCCTAACGTCGTGAAATATTATTTTGATCTAATCAAAATTGATAAATTAATACACCCTTTTAATTTATCGTCAATTTACATTCGTCGTCCCTGATTGACATCTAGCAATGTGTCAGGGCAGTACATATGATGGGAAATGTCACGTGGTATGACAAAACCAAATTCGTCCGTTTATCGTGGAACTATTATCCCTTCGTCAATACGATCCAATCAATTACGAGATATGGAATTGTGTCAATCTCGATCATTGATCATATCTTTAACTCCACTATTAAGTCAATATAAATCGAAAACTCCTTTTCGACTTATGAGTACACCTTGGCCAAGGATTTCATCATCGACTTAATTGAATGAAACGCAGATCATAATCTCCTACTATCTAAGGGTGACGAATCATTTATTGATCAATCACAACCTTCATACAATTCTTAACATATCCGAACGATGTCGTATTAGCGGCCCCTTTCAGAGCAACATCCAACACCGCCAAAATATGACTGTCCTCATATAAGGTATCATGACGACCTCAAGTTAAAGGACCAATTCCACTACCGAACGTTAGAGATTAGCCATTGACACTCAGATAGTTATACATGTGGAATCTCTTAGCGGGTCTCCAATGTTTTGTTCTATAACAAAACATCCACGTGTTCATTTAAGTGTCACCACACTTTAGCTTGTGAGATCAGCTACTTACTTCACAAGTAAGAAATGCCACACGTGATAGTCTAACTGCATTAACGATATCCGTATCTCGTTATTACTTACAACCATGGTTTATTCAAGATCCAATTATATGTAATTTGTATCTCACAATCACAACTCCTTGTGATTAACAGATTACCTAAAAATTGGATTTTCGAATTCTATTATTTAATATTATTTATTACAAAATTAATTTAAATAAATAATAGATCTCGCCAAAATCAAATGCATTAAATATATTAAAAGCGTTTACAACCTAAATCGATTGGATCTAGGGCATAGCACTTACAAACTCCCACTTGCACTAGATCCAATCACTCACGTATCTAATACCATAAGCATCCACATGATGATCATGTTTATGTTGTGACAACGACTTTGTCAGTGGATCTACAATATTATCATCTGTGAGAACTCGCTCTATCTTTACGTCATTCCTTTGTATAATCTCCCTGATGAGATGATATCGATTTAGCACATGTTTGGATCGTTGATGAGATCTCGGTTCCTTCGCTTGCGCGATGGGTCCATTGTTATCACAATACAAAAGTATGAGATCAACAATGTTAGGAATGACTCCAAGTTCATTAATGAACTTCTTGATCCATACAGCTTCCTTTGCTGCTTTAGAAGCAGCTATGTACTCTGCTTCTGTTGTTGAATCAGCGGTTGTTTCCTGTTTGGAACTTTTCCAACTAACCGCTCCATTGTTGAGAGTAAACATATATCTTGACTGAGACTTGCTATCATCTTTATCAGTTTGAAAACTAGCATCAGTATACCCCCGAATTTTCAGTTCATTTCCTCCATAAATCAAGAACACATCTTTAGTCCTTCTTAAGTACTTAAGAATGTTCTTAACCGCTATCCAGTGTTTCTCACCAGGGTTTGCTTGAAACCTGCTCTAACACTTATAGCATATGAAACATCTGGTCTCGTACATAGCATCGCATACATGATAGATCCTATCGCCGAAGCATAAGGAATCTTGTCCATACGACTCCTTTCATCATGTGTTTTAGGACACATATCTCTTGAGAGGTAAATCCCATGTGACATGGGGCATAATCCTCTTTTGGACTCTTCCATATTAAATCTTCTCAAGATTTTATCTATGTACGAAGATTGGGATAAGCCTAGTAATCTTTTAGATCTATCTCTATAGATCTTGATTCTCAAGATATACGCTGCTTCTCCCATATCTTTCATGGAGAAATTCTTTGACAACCATAATTTTACCAATTGAAGCATTGGGATGTCGTTTCCCATTAATAATATGTCATCGACATATAATATCAGGAATACGACTGCGCTCCCATTTGTTTTCTTATAAACACACGGTTCATCTTCATTTTTGATAAAATCAAACCTTTTGATTGTTTCATCAAAACGAAGATTCCAGTTCCTAGAGGCTTGCTTTAATCCATAAATGGATCGATTTAGCTTGCATACTTTGTTGGCTCCTTTGGATTCAAAACCTTCAGGCTATGTCATATACATCTCTTCTTGCAGGTTTCCATTAAGGAAAGCAGTTTTGACATCCATTTGCCGTATCTCATAATCATGGTATGCAGCTATTACAAGCAAAATTCGAATGGACTTCAGCATGGCTACAGGCGAAAAAGTTTCATCAAAGTCAATACCTTTTCTTTATGTGTAACCCTTCACTACTAGCCTTGCTTTGTATGTGTGGACGTTTCCATCCACATCGACCTTTTTCTTGTAAACCCATTTACAACCTATTGGTTTTATCCCACCTGGAAGGTCGACTAAGGTCCAAACCTTGTTCTCATACATTGAGTCCATTTCGGATTCCATGGCAGCTTGCCATCTTTTCGAATCAACACTTGACTTTGCTTCTGCGTAATTTGAAGGTTCATCATCCTCGATTAATAATACTTGATTAGTAATCATGAATTTGTACCTTCTGAGAGGTCGAATGATCCTTTTTTATTTACGCTGAGCTGGAGTGTCCTCAGGGTTCTCTACATCCTGATCAAGAGTCTGTCCACCAACAGGTGTAGGATTAGACTCAAGTTCATCTAATTGGTCAACAGTGTCTGTGGATTCTTGAACTTCCTCAAGTTCTAGTTTACTCCCACTACCCTCTCCTAGAATAAACTCTTTCTCTAAGAATATGGCATGCCTTGAGATGAACACTTTCTTCTCAACGGGATTATAGAATTGATATCCAATTGTCTCCTTTGGATATCCAACAAATACACATTTGTCAGATTTAGCTTCAAGCTAATCTGATTCATTTCGCTTTACATAAGCGTCACAGCCCCAAACTTTCATATGAGATAAGTTTGGTCTTTTCCCTCTCCATAGCTCGTATGGAGTTTTATCAACCGATTTAGATAGGACGCGATTAAGTGTGTAGCGCGCAGCAATTAGTGCATGACCCCAAAATGATTTTGGGATGTTTGCATGGCTCATCATAGATCGCACCATATCTAACAAAGTGCGATTCCTCCGTTCAGATACACCATTATGTTGCGGTGTATATGGTGGAGTCCACTGCGAGAGAATCTCATTCTCTTTAAGATAATCTAAAAATTCTCCCTTTAAATATTCTCCACCTCGATCTGATCTTAGCGTGAGTATATTTTTACTAGTTTGTTTCTCTACTTCAAGTTTGAATTCCTTGAACTTTTCAAGTGCTTCATGTTTGAATTTCATCAGATACACATAACCATATCTAGAATGATCATCAATGAATGTGATGAAGTAAGAGAAACCACCTCTGACAGTTATTGACATGGGTCCACATACATCAGTATGTATTAGTCCCAGAAATTCTGTGGTTCTTTCCCCTTTTCCAGTAAAAGGGAACTTGGTCATTTTGCCTAACAGGCACGACTCGCATCTGTCAAATGATTCAAAATCAGTTGACCCTAAGTATCCATCTTTATGTAACTTGGAAATGCGTTTGTCGTTAATATGACATAATCTGCAATGCCAAAGGTATGTATTATTTAGATTATCACTTTTATGCCTTTTATTTTCTATATTCATAATAGACGACTCAGTATCAAGAATATAAATTCCATTCTGCAACACACTACAACCATAAAAGATCTCATCTTTATAAAACGAACAACGATTGTTCTTAACTTTAATTGAAAAACCACCCATGTCTAAACACGAAATAGAAATAATGTTTTTAGTAATGGCCGGAACAAAATAGCAATTCTCTAATTCTAATACTAAGCCTGAAGGCAGTGGTAAGAAGTATGTCCCTAC